CCTAGCAGGATTTCTATGCATTTGTGGTATAAGCCCTAGTGTGTCTTCTTGAGAAAAAATAAATATAAGACAGTGTCTTATTTTCGGGAAAACACGGTACTCTTAGGGCCAAGGTAGCTATGGGGAGGGCAGCCATTTAATTGATTGATGGGTTTAATTTTGTGTGTGTGTGTGTTGTAAATGTTGGTATTGCCATTGTCTGGAACGTGAAGAGTCACCCAACATCATCTCATCAGTGGCATGAGAAAAATAAGACCTGTCCAGAAGTAGGTGGCAAGAGATGAGTACAGTTGCTCCCACCATTCTCTTTCCAGGCAGGTGGATGGACTCCCCTCTTCTTCACAGCTGGTATCTCAAGCCACCAATCCGAAGCTCATGGTATTTTATTTAGAGTCCAGGAGACTGAATGCAGCTGAAGAGCTCTTTGGGTCTTGCCCTTCACTGTGTTTCTTCACAGTAGGGATGTGTTGGGATTCTTTTTGAGTAAGTCAGCAGAGTATTAAGAGACTGAGTCCATGGTGTGTTTTAAAATATAAACGTTTACTATAAACCTAACATGGGAAAAAGGTACACAGGATATAAAATAACAAAGAGCTAATATGTCTACATCCTTGCAGCTAAAAGATAAAACGGGAAGAGCCGAATGGCGTCTCCCTCTCTAGTCAGAACAAAGAACAGGGAGGAGAAGCCAATATGCTAAATACTTGACACCTTGTTTTCCAATCAGACTAGCAAACTAGCCCCAAAGTTCCCGGGCATCCTATTGTCTAAACAGATTGGTTACAAACAAACATGTGACTTAACAAACATCATTAACCCTGTAAATACTGAAGTGTTTTGACTTGTAATACCCAACAGGATGGCAGCATGGGATAGTCCTCATTTGTCAGATCACAGAAGCTAAGCAGGGCCAGTAGTTGGATGGGAGGCCACCAAGGAAGACTGTGAAGAGGAGGGCCATGGCCAACCACCTTCTCACTGGCTCAAAAGCCACTTGCTGGGGTTGCTGTAAGTTAGTTGCGACTTGACGGCACTTGCATGCATACAATCCTGTTTCACATATGGCACAGAAGTGCCAGGGTGATGTTGCGGTGAGACTGTTGAACTAGGATCTGGAAGACCAAGGTCTGAATCTTGCTGGATGAACTTGGGCAGGGCCACTCAACTCTCTCAGCCTAAGCAACCTCACAGGATGGTTGTTGTGATGGTAAAATGGAGAACACGGGAAGTAAGCTACTCTCAGTCTACACAGGGAAGAAAAGTGCAGTAGAAATAAATAAGTAGTGAGGATAGTCTGAATGTTCACAGAAGGTGAAGGTCAAGGGTTCTGTGGTTCGCTCAGCTGGAAGAAACTACATGCAGAGAAGGAGCAAGGGGAGATAAGGTGGGGGAGGGTCCAGCTCCCCTCACTTATTTATTTATTTATTTACTCTATTTATACCCAGCCTGTCTCCCCCAGGGAGACCCAAAGCATCCACCGTTTTCCTCTCCTCCATTTTATCCTCACAATAACCCTGTGGAGAGAGATTCAGGTGAAGTAGCCGTGTTGGTCTGAAGCAGCAGAACAAAATTTGGGTCCAGTGGGACCTTTGAGACCAGCAGAGTTCTGTTCAAGGTATGATCTTCCGTGTGCAAGGCACACTACTTCAGACAGGTTAGGCTGAGAGTGTGTGGCTAGCCCAAGGCCACCCGGCAAGACTTTTTTTTTTTATCAAACTTAAGACCCGCCTCTTGCTTTCACACAAAAAATGACAGATGATCCAATCGAATTCTATGTAATCTTCAAAGAGCAATTGGCTCTAGTTTTTAAAGATATGTGTAACTTAGCAAAAGAACAAGGCGAGGTACCGGAATCGTGGAAAGAAGCATATATCTCATTGATACAGAAACAAAATACAGATGAAAAAGAGATGAAAAATTACAGACCTATATCCTTACTAAATGTGGATTATAAAATATTTGCCTCTATATTGGCACAGAGACTCAAAAAAAAAATATGGTGGAAATTATAAATATAGATCAAGCGGGATTTCTTCCCAAAAGACAAATGAAAAATAATTTGAGAATTCTGATGAATGTTTTAGAATATTATGAAGTTCATTGTGAAAAACGGTTGGCTGTAATATTTTTGGACGCAGAGAAAGTGGTTGATAATGTTAATTGGACTTTTATGACAGAAGTACTTCAGATGCTAGAGATGGGAGAAAACTTTACCAATATGATACATTCAATATACAAAGAGCAAAAGGAAAAAGTGATTGTAAACAAAAAAAATGACAGATGCATGAGTAAACAAATGTGGCTGCCCCTGTCTACTTTGGTGTTTATTTTGAAAACCAGAAATCTGGAGGACTACCTTGTCAAACTAGAACCTTTGCCCTGAAGAGGGGGAAAACCCCCACATACTTGTAAAGTATGTAGGGAAATTCTCATTCTTTCCCCTGCGTGCGCACTGGCACGCTCCCATGCAAAACTGCACTCTGGCCCCTTACAAATGACCTTGTGAGTAGAAGGAGCATGTACTAGAATGTCTGGATCTCACCTACTCGCCCAGTCCCAGCACCTGTACGTTCATCCTGCTTGTGTAAACGCCGACCAAAGGTCTGGAGGTATACATGGACGTGAGAAGCATAGCCAGCAGGCGTGGTCCCAATCCTCCCCAATGCGGTCTTTCACATTCACGCCCCATGACCCCCACTGACATGGCTGCAGCTTCTGCTCCAGTAGATCTGGGTCACTCAGCATCAACCTCGCCCACTACCTTCTCCCTCATCTATTTCATCAGGCCTTAGTGAAGCATCCATTTTGAACAGGGCGATGGGAGCTGTCCACAGTTGCCCTCTCCCTTCCCATTTCAGCTTCACCAGTTCCAAGTGAGGCATGCTGCTTGACTTGCCCCTCCTCCTCTTGCCTGAGCACAGTGGCAGCCTCCCAAACCTCCTGAGTTTCAGGGTTACAGAACTAATTCTCATCAAACGGTGGAAAGGCCCAGCCTGGAAAAATGCTGGAGTTTGCGAAGGCACTTCAACTTTGAAAAAGAGAACGATAAAGGATGCGATTTAGAAAGAGTCAGAAATAATGAAATTCACTCCTACACACAAAATTTTTAAGCTGCTGCACCTCCGCCGTCTTTCAGCCTATTTTGCTCAAATTGGAAAGACTCGTGTCACTCAGCGAGGAGATTCTTTGTGCCAAATGTGGTACGGGGAGGACAAATCATGCCGGTTTTATAAGGAGTAACGTTTTTGTCGTTGGTAATGGCAGAATGCTAAGAAGGGGTCGTAACTTCGCTATTCAGCTTGTCCCATGAGTGTATAATAAAGCAGATATGCCAGGATGCGTGAAAGCAGAAGGAAGCAAATAGCATCCCATGAGTGTTCATTGTGTGTGTGTGTGTGTTTAAAAATATGTATTTAGTGCCTTTTAATACGTGTAATCTGCCACGCTACAAACACATCGTTTCTTTTCACGTGCATCATTCTTTTGCCTACCCCACCACCAGCTCTTCTCCACCTTCAGCATCAATACATATTTCTCTAATTGCCCAGCTAATACCTTCTTCATTATCAAGCTACCCACACAAGAATGAGAAATGTCTGTGGCGCCAATTAGCACGGGAGGCATGTTGTTTAACAAGCTTATAAACTATATAAAACTAATTGTCCCTTCCATTAGTCCCAGTAGGAATCGGAATTCTAAAAGCTGGGTAATTATTATGCTGTATTATTACGTTTTTGTTCCCCATGGTTAGCCCTTGTTTCAAGCCTAGTCTCCATTTTCTTGGGTGGGCCCACTGTTGTGGCCAGCAACACACTCGTCCTTATCAGGGGTCAGTTCGTAGAAAAAGAGGTGCAGGAGCTCATTAGCATAACTCATTAGCATAACTTATTTGCATATGCCACACCCCCTGACATCACCGGAAGTGTGTCAGAAGGCAACACCCACCGCTCAGGCTCCACTGGACTGTTTTGGATTGCTAGCTATTGGGGGAGGGGAACACACAGATCTGCCCTCACAGAGGAGGGAGAGCTGGTACCTGAATAAAACTTGGTCTTAAAGGTGCCACTGGACTGTTTTGGCCTGGGGGGGTGGGGGGGCTCTGCAACTTACCTGGCTGCTTCTTGCTCTGACTTAGGGCTGCTGGGAGCAGGGGGTGGGGCTTGTTGCATGTGCCCACCCCCTGGGCTCTTTACTGCCGGAGCTCCGCTCCTGTGCGCTCCTGCAGGAAATGACCCCTGGTCCTTATGATGGAGAAGTGTAGATGTGGAGACACCGTTTGTGTATTTGGAAGACTAGGGGGTACATTCTTTATGTGTATGCTCTGTAAACGGAGACATATCACACTCATATCCCATCATGGCAGTAGCATCTTCTAATCTCCAAACACTCCTCATTTGGAAATACAGGTAAATGCTCTGACTATGAAAAACATTATTTCCAACATTCAGGAACAAGGGGAAGACTTCCGGTTTGACAATTTTTTTGGTGCTTTGCTGTCTGGCTTAATGTTTGCAAACAGCAAGAGGCAGGAGCAACAGGAACAGCAGATAAGTGACAAGAACTTTATCCAACCATAACGTTGTGCCTGTCTTCCTACAAAATAGGATTGTCTTGGGTTGGGTGTTTCTATACACGGTCTTTCCATTTCCTCCCAGTCTTTGCACCATCTCACTGGCTTTTGGAGGGTTTTCTGGGTGTATATATATCTAGCAACAGGTTTTATTTGCCTGTATTATTCCATTCTTTGGGATAAGTAGCTAGCATTAGCCAACCTCATATCTTACCAGCACTTTGTTTGTACTTGTTGCAGAGATCTGAAGAAATAGAGACAGACATTGAAGTTTTGTTTCGTCCTCACAGCATGACAGGCAGTTTCCCTGCCTTGCAGAAAGATTGAACACCCTCCCGCCAATAGTGGGCATATCCTGGTTGTGTTTGACATTCTTTACTCCAAAATTCCAACATTTTCCCCCCTCATAATTGTTTTGTTTTTCTTGCAGATTGACATGATTGTGACACTGGGTGGACTCGGAGGTCGCTTTGACCAAATCATGGCATCTGTAGAGACTTTATTTCATGCCACAAAGATAACCCCCTTTCCCATCATTGTTATTCAGGAACACTCGCTGATCTACCTACTTCAACCTGTAAGTAAAATAAAGCACAATTTTTTTAAAAAAAAATCTATATAAAGGCCAGATCTTGTAGGTGTGATACAGTTAAAAATGCTACTGACATCAGTAGAAATTATGGTTATGGCTGGAAAATCAATACGTTATGTTCTAATACAATCAAAGTTTGATGGGTTAGACGTGGAGTCTAGCGATTGATGTAGAAACAACAGGCAAAGGGCACAATCCAGTCGAAGTTCAAGTTTTTACATTTCATGGCAAAAGATTTAAGCATTTATTTATTTATTTATTTATTTATTTATTTATTTATTTATTAGTTTGATTTATATCCCGCCCTCCGAGAGCATGTGTTTACTGCCTCCTCTGGAATCAGTAGACGTCAAAAATGCTTAACCTTGAATGGATATAATCCAAATTACCCACCTTTTCTATGTATTTCTTACTTAAAAATCAAAAAGCCGATGAAGTTTTCTGATATTTGTTGTATGATTTTTAGAATGTGTTTTTATGACATACAAACATGTATGAGATACCTGTGTATGGCAGAGTTGCCAGGTACCCCCTGGCAACCGGTCGCTGGTGGAGGGACTTACCCGGAGCAAAAGGAGGCCTAGGTTGGTGGCACTGGGAATGCAGCAATGTCATTTCTAAGGTGCACCAGAAGTGATGTCATCATGTTGCTGGTGATGCAAGTACATTCCGGTATTCGGGCAAAAAAATATAAGGTAGAAGTTGCTATTGTGAGACTCTTAACAGTCAGTATTGGGCTGCAGGAAATGGATGAATTGCTAATCAACATGTCAGTTATCAGTAACGTATATTTTCCGCTGTGCAAACAAACTTTTTGATACTGGCCCTTTGTTGATCACTTGCTCTGTATTTTGACATTGGCTCTCGCTACTGTCCCCCCTTGCTCTAACCATTACACCACCCTGGCAAGTACACCTGATTAAGGGGGTTCTGCCTAAGGTAGCCCTTAATGAGAAGTTGCAGCTGTGACCCTCCACCACTGAGTCTGTTCAGAAAGCTGAAACTGGGGAGTTATTTCCTTGCAAATGGTTGGCACGCTGTCTGACCCTGTAAATTAACTTTTATATGGCTTTGGGGAAGGCTACTTTAGAATCTTCTAGAGCCGTTTAGTACATTCACAGTGCCCAATTCAGTATGTAAAATGTTTCCTTTTGTCACGTAGCTGGGTCAAGGCATCTTGGTGAGTTTTGAAATACCAGACTGAAAAGTCTGTGCAAAGAGATCATTTGGAGCGATAATGAAACCACCAGCAATTTTTTTCCCCAGCCTGCCCTGCCTCATTATGAATAATTATATGTTATATATGGCTTTTTCATTTTGGAGAGCCGGGTGGCTGTTTCCTGAGCTGAATCTTGTTTACCCTCCGCTGCTCTCCTCCATTGGTAAATGTGCTTATGGGGGATTCTCCTCCCCTCTCCCCCAATTAGGATTCGTTGTTTTTTTTTTGGTTTTTTTGAGGGGGAGAATGCTTCTAGTCTTAATGGCTGCAGATTGAGGAGCAGAAATGGATGAAATCAGTTGCTAAATTTAGCAACTCACCTAAATTATGTATTGTGGTTTTATCCCATCCTTCCTCTAAGGGCCTCTTCTCTGTTCCATTATACCTTACAACAACCCTGTCTTGTAGGGTAGGGTGAGAGAGACTGGCGTCCAGGGAGTTTCATGGCTGAATTGTGATTTTTTACATTAGGGAGGGGGCTGTGGCTCAGTGGAAGAGCCCTCACTTTGCACACAGAAGGTCCTGGGTTCAATCCCAAATGTCTCCAGTTAAAAAGGAGATAGGGAGTGTGCAATAGGGAGTGTGTACGTTCAGTCGCAATGGATCCTTGGGCATGCCCACTGTAGTTAACTGTTTTAAAATGTTTTATTTGTTTTTAGCGCACTGTGTGCCTTGATTGTGTTGACCATGGTGTTGTATTACACCGGTGTACTGTGAGCCGCCCTGAGCCCGCGTGCGGGGAGGGTGGGATATAAATGTAATTAAATAAATAAATATGGCCAGGCAGTAGGTGATAGGAAAGACCTTTGCCTGAGATCCTGGGGAGTTGCTGCCAGTTGACGTAGACAATATCAGTGGTCTTGATGGACCGATGGTCTGACTCGGTCTAAGACAACCATGTGAGCTTCATGTGTGAACCTGTGTCTCCCTACACTGAACCCAACACGCTGTCTCTCATTGTAAGGTGTGTACGAGAGCCGCACAAGAAGTGAATGGTTACCATGCAACTGCCATGTGTGTCGATGCGTTGGTTTGTATAACTCGGTATCCACCAAGCCAAGTGCAGACCACCAGCCGTGTATGGCAACCCACAAGAAGCTCAGCTCACTTTCTATTTTTGTTCCGTGCCCAGCACTGCAAAAACAAAGGGCAGGAGGTCATCACTGTGAGAGGAATAAATTGCCCCGACCTGAAGTTGGGGCTCAACAAAAATAGATGACACTCTATGTAAGTGCTGTCAAGTCACAGCCAGTTTATGGAGACCCTGGCAAAGGGTTTTCAAGGCAAGTGAGCGGCAGAGGTGGTTTGCCATTGCTCTCCTCTGCAGACTCTTCCTTGGTGGTCTCCCTTCCAATATCCTTCCAGAATCTGACGAGATTGGGCTAGACCAGGGGTGGCCAAACTTGCTTAACGTAAGAGCCACATAGAATAAACATCAGATGTTTGAGAGCCACATGATGTGAACAAATGTTGCAGACATGTTTTTAATGAAAAATACGCAATTTTGCTTTTTATTAACATTAAACGAGCATGCCAAAAAGAAAAAGAAAAGGGATAAAAGATACTGATATTTATTTTTCCAATGATATTTGTAGGCTGGGGGGGCTTTGAGAATGCATTTAAAGGTAAAATTGCTTTCTTTGCTCCCACCTGCCTCAAGCCTGCCCAGGAAGGGGAACACTGGCTGGGGAAAGGAAGACCGATTGGGGAGGCCCGCCTTCCCCTTCGCTTTCCCAGCTGCCCTGCTGGGAGCCACACAATATGTGTAAAAGTGCCCCATGTGGCTCCCGAGCCACAGTTTGGCCACCCCTGGGCTATACCATGTCACCTTCACTCCCCAAGGGGAAGTATTGTCCAGATGAGAAATAATGTTTCAAAACTGATCAGTAGGAAGGCAGGCCTCTAGGGAATTGGGGTGTGTGTGTGCAGCCAAGCCTGCTGGGGCAGCGTCTCATTGACCCCTAATAAGCCAGCATTCCCTTGGGCCTGAGTGCAACCTGTATTCTTTGCATTCTTTTTTTCTCATCTGCAGGAAAGTTGTTCAACAGTACAATCCTATGCAGCACTACTCAGAATCCTAGTCAGTTCTGCTCACTGGGGCTTTCTTCCAGGAAAGTGTTCTTAGGGTTGCACTGTTAATAGAGGTCCCGGTCACACGGGCCGGAAAATGCGGTGGGGAAGCATGGCTGTTTGCCCCAGAGCAAAGTAATGCACGGCAGCCCGATCACATGTCCCGTGGAGGTCCCGTGGTTATGCCTTTAGGTGCCGACCACACGGCTATCCTGCAGCGCGGCAAAGAAGTGGCACGGCGCAATCACACTGGCAATCGCTAGGCGCCACTTCCATGGCAAATGGGATTTTTTCCCCCTCACCACAGTGTGTGCGTGTGCCGGTGGAAATTTGTGCGCATCCCATGGAGACTTAAAAAAAAACCCATCCGGTTTGCGACGGGACATGGGCGGGCTCCAGATGCCACGGGATTCCAGCGGAAACGTGATCAGACGCCCGCCCTTGCCCCGCGTTTTCCGGAAACTAGTACATCATATGTTCTAGTTTTTTACTCCGTATCTTCGGCAAGAAGCCACAGGTTAGCCACGGGTGCACTACGCTTCCCAGATGTGGCAGTGTGATCGCACCCGGAAAATCCGTCTATCATCCGTATCTTAAGCGCGACAAATTCTCCGTGTGAACGGGACCAGAGTAAAGCAGACCATTTGATCTTTCAGTCCCATATCCTCAGCCTAAAGTAGTGCATTTCAGGAACAGTTTTTGCTGGGACAAAACTTTTCTCCAACAAACCTCATTGAATCATCCTTTTAAAGGGGTTCGAGTGAATGCCTGCCTGATGAACAGCAAGATCTGGCGTTGATGGCCCCCTCCATCCCTCTTTCACAAGAAAGAAAACTAACACTGAAGGAAGGTGGGGTAGGGCTTGTTTCCATATACAAAAGAACCTCCTCAGGATAGCTCCTCCATTAGCATGTTCACAGCCTGGGGAACTCCTACAAGATAATGCCTCAGCCCTACCCCACCTTCCTGAGTAGATATAAATTACCTGCCTACCATTTTCTTCTCACCTGCCAAAACCACAGCCATACGGGACCTGGTGCAGTTCCGCAGGGCCTGTAAGACGGAGCTCTTCCACCAGGCTTTCGATTAGGGCCGCCACCGCCCCCCCCCTATATACCATCATGTGGGGGGGGTGAGGGCCCTAGGAGGGCAGGAACATCTGTTTAATACCTATTATACAATGCCTACTGGGGGATGTTTGGGTGTGTGGTCTCTCCTCTCTGATTCTTTTTGGAATGGATGTAGCTTGAGCACTTTATTGTCGTTATTGTTGTTGGGTTTTTTAAATTGTATATTGTGTTTTAAAACCTATTAATGTATTGATGTTTTTATGAGCAAGTTTCTTGCCGTGTAAGCCGCCCTGAGCCCTACGGGGGAGGGCAGGGTATAAATGTAACAAATAAATAAATAAATAAATAATAAATATACAACCCGGAAAATCTACAGCAGCTAATGGACTCCAGCCATGAAAGCCGTCGACGGCATACTAACACTGATTGTTCTTGCATTTCTAATAGTGAACATGAGAGGAAGGCAGCATGCTATAGCCCAATCTCATCAGATCCTGGAAGCTAAGCAGGGTTAGTACTTGGATGGGGGACGACCAAGGAAGGCTCTGAAGAGGAAGGCCATAAGTTAGTTGCTACTTGATGGCACGTGATTACGTACTAACAGTGAACGTTCCCTTTGGAGGAAT